CTTAACCAGAACTAGATGTTAGAAGAAATAACTGTCCACAGGAATGGGCGGTTTTAATACAAGACAACTGTGTTAGCCACATTAAAGACGTGGCTAGAAAGTGGCTGTTCGAAAATGAAGTCGCTTTATTGTTGTTGTGCCCACACAGCAGCCACTTGTCTCAGCCATTGGACGTCGTCATATTTTGAGTTCAAAAAGTTGTTTTTTATTATGAAAAAAAATCAATGAAATGATCTGGTTATTCAAAGCTAGTATAAGTATTGTTACTGTTGTTACGTTTATTTTATCGTTATAGACTAATAGAGAGTAATGGGTTCTTCGATAGTGTCTCGGCTTGTTAGTATGAAGTACCCCCTTGGTGTTTTGTCTCAAACGGATGATGTTGCAAATGAAGACAAGAAGGCTACAAAAAGAAGAACAATGGAAATTTTAGAACTCAAAGATCAATACAATGCTCTATATGCTGATAAATTGAAAGAGTTGTCTGTTTATATGGTCACAAAAAGATGTTGAAATCATCCAGTCGTTCAAAATTGCCTGTGTAAACAACAACACATCGGCCTTTCACATGTGTGGTTACGTTAAGAAGCCAATTGGAAACAAAAGGAGGGCACTTATAATGTCAGAATATTCTACTGTAGAGAGTATGCCTTCAGAATTTGAGCGTTTTTGGGAGAACAGGTTTTAGTGGTCCTTGTTGCATTTCCTGGAATAAGTAGCAACCTAACTATTGATAAAAATGAAGGCATTTCAAATTAATTGAGAAATTCGCGTCATGTATGTTTATTTTTGGAATATTATCGAATAATTTCAATTTAAGTTGTGCTGACCTGTAAGATTAAGTAAAGTAACACGAGTTCAAAAGTAATTTAAAATGACATATTTTTTCTAAATAATCATTAATAATATTATTTAAGTTTAAAAAAATAAAAATATGGTTTCAAAACATCTTTTTAATACAACTGTCATATTGTGACATCTTGTAACCTTTAAGTATTTATAGATTAACTCTGATTTTTACATATTTAACAGATCAATAAAATTGATATTTTTATTATTTACTCATGATGGAGCAACAACTGCATTTGATTTGTTTATTCTTACATTGACCATGCTTTACACACCTGCTTAATATTATTGTTTGTTTGTTTTTTCTTTCTCTTTATCCAATGTGTTTATCAATAGAATGATTTGCTTGAGTTGAACCAATACTGGTTGTTATAAAATGGACTTGTGATGTTTGTTAATGTTTTGTTAATACAGAAAGTGTTGATCATATAGGTTTCAGTGTTTCTTTTGATAATTGGCTATGTCCTCGTTTATAGCCTTAAAAACTCTTGCCATTAACAAAAGCATTTGTCTAATTGATGATTTTGTCAAACTTTTTGTTATTGTTTATTACTGAGAAGAAATCTTCTTTCACCTCATTTTTTATTTATTTTTTCGTTTTGATTTGAATAATATGTTCTTTTTGGTTCTGCTTGAAGGGGAAAAAACTTCAATGAAAGGTACACTATAAGTGTAACTATCATTGAAATATAAAAATAAACCAAACCTTTATTCAATCAATAACCTTTTTTACTCAAAAACCTTTTTTTACCATGACTATAGTCATTATTTGTTAGAGTTTGACCAAAACAAGCGTTTCTATTTTTTACTCGAAAATACTTACAACATCAATTATTTACCATTTAAATATATATTCAAAACCATTTTAATAGTATTTTTTTGTTCTTAAAACACACCAAGAATTCAATTATGCATTTCCAATTTGATTTGTTATTGGATTACATGGCTCGGAACAGTCTTCTCCTTCAACCATCTCTTCGCCTTCGGGACTCTCTGTTCCCAATTCGTCATGTGGAGAACAATCCAGTGAGTTTCCCGGCTCAAAGGAAGCTCTCCCATTACTCAAGTAAGTCATCATATCCTTCATACTAGAGATTGTGACATCCCCAATTATCTTAGGTAATTCCAACCTGATCTTCAACATCTTCTCTATCCTTTCCACAGAGAGCTTGTTTATCAGTCCCTGATAGTTATGACCACAGGAACAGTGGTTACACTTCGCAGATTCCTTGCACTTCGAAGCTTCTCACAAAGTGTGTTGTATTTTGACACTTTTCGGAAATATGCAGTGTTGAGGTTTTCATTTTTCACAATTGTGACATCAACCACACAACCCTTTTTGGCTTCATTGTATCGCCAATAAATGTCGGGCCTTCGAGCAAAGCTTTGCCTGTCATCACAGAGCATATTTCTTTCGGCAATGACCACATTCTTCTCCCCTTCGTCGTACATGTCTTTTGGAGGCACCGTCATTGAAGTGTTCTCATCTCTCATCTTCAGCCTCTTCAACAATGCAACGTGGATTTTGTCACGGACTACATTGTGTCTGGCTATTTGGGACTTCTTGGTCTTTGGACAACTCAGCGAGATGTTTCCTATGTTGGCAATTTGGTCTTTGCAGCAGTAGCATCGTGCATCAGAATTGTTACTAGTGAAAAGTGCCTTCCTCCTCCCACAAAAGGTTGCCTTTTCCTGCATTCTCACCACTTAAATAAATGCATGTTTTTGATGTTGCAATTCTTCCATGCTTTTCTTGAGATATCTCTGTTGCATGCGACATTCTCAAGCATTCTAGTAAGAATACCGGCCTCCTTTTTTGACTTCCACTGCTCAAATTAGAAGGAGTTTATCTTTTCAGATATTGCATTCAGAACCGCTGCAATCGACTTGTTTTCTGCGGCTTCTTTCTCTATGCAGTCTTGCAGCTCTTGCTTTGTCATCTTTTTCCGCAAACAGGCTACAGCATTTTTCATCAGATTGCCAGGAGTATCGTCTGTGTATTGCATAAGGTTTGCAATATTCGAGTCATTGTGCCATGTGTACTTTGAGTAGATTGGCATGTTCTCCTTGCCACATTCGTCTCGGCAAGATAGAATATAGAGACAATCTGACTCTCTAAGTTCAGAGCGTTTTCTTCAAAGCCTTTGGAAACACTGAGTTAAGACTTGCTGGAACGGCGAAGATGAGAGGTGACAAGGCTCGACTTACTCTTCCTAGTATATTGCCTTTAGGGTTTACCAGACCCTATCCAGCCACCAGTATAACTTCCTGTAGGAGATCTCGCTTATCGAAGGCATCGATAGCTACTTTTGATGACTCTACATCATTATTGTAAATATTCCTAATTAATAAAAAAAATACATCTAATTTATTATAATAAATCTATTTGATCAAAAATATTATCATTTTCAACAAAAAATCTAACTATTATTATAAAAAATCACTAATTCAATCGAAAAAACAGCCTTTTTAAACAAACTCTGACTGTAATTTATTATTAAAATAATTGAAAACAAATTCAAAAACACAAAATCAATTAGTTTTAGCACAACACAATGGTCTTTACAGACCCATGTTTCCATTTTCCACACGTTCAAAATGGTCTATACTTGCTGTAACAAGACATACACAAAAATTTTCATGGTAACGCTTCCAAATTAATTAATTTTTCATTTTTCAATTTGGTTTGTGACACACAGTTTTTAAATACAAAAATAAAAAAATGACTTATTTTTAGTAAAAAACAATGAAAAAATTATGGGACCTACATTGACCACCACCACCTTTACCAAAAAAAATATTTGCCGCGAGTGTTTTTTAAAGGGAGTCCATTTTTCAGCCACTGTTTGTGCGTCCCCATGTCACCCACTTTCCTTGTCCGTACTGTGTGGACGCGGATGTGGTTCCCCCCCCCGCAAGCGGGGGGGTCAGGGGGGATCCGCGCCAAGGGAGGACTTGGAAAGTGGGTGAAACGGTGCACAAACAGACTGTTTGAGTGCGTCTTTATGAGCCTTCTTTTCAATGCTCCGTCTTTCTCGGTTTCCACTGACTCGAGGTGAATTTTCGGCATTTCTTGAATTCGGGAACCAGACCTAATATTATCCCAGGTTCCTATTTACTATAATTTTAATTTGAATATGATTCGAAATAGAAAAAATAAATCTATTTTAAGAGGTGGTGGTGGTGGTCAATATAGGTCCCTAAAATTATCCATTTTTAACTCCATAAGGTTAAATAATTATTTTATGAATTTATATATATTTAATTTACTTTTTTATAACTTATTAATAGTATTTTATTTTTATTTGTATTTTCGAAACCACTAAAAGTTGGCGATTATTGTAAAAATTTAATAGTAACTGAACAGTTAGAAAATACCAATTGATGTGTGTATCTTATTACATAACTATCAATTGCATTAATCATTTCTATGTTGTATTTTTGTTTTTTTTATTATGATAATTCATAAACATTTTTTTAATTTACTCAAGTTATTTAAATATTAATAATTTATGTAATTTAATAATATTTTATTAAAAAGAGAAAATGATTTCACATGAAAACATTCATAGCTCTTTTTTTTTGTTTTATCCAAATTCATTAATTCAAAAAATTTAAGACAAAAAGAGAAAAAACACCTTAAGATCTTGAAAAAATAGATGTTCAAGCAGTGTTGCATCAGTGGGTGTAATCAAGACGGACGCGAGAAATTGTCAAAAATTGAAGGGAAGGTACTTATCAAGCCCGAGTTCATCAACAGTTGCCCACGAGATTGGTTGTTGTGTCAAACACACTTTGTTGAAAACGCAGAGAAACTTGATTGTTGTATTGAGCGATGCAGCAACACGGCTTCGACCAACGAAATACCACCAGAAATGTATGGGAAAGTTAAAGTACGCCCAAATTGCAGCCACCACCTCATCTGTCTTAATCATTTCAAAAGATATTCAACCAACAAAAGTTTGCTTTTTTGATGCAAGGTACCGAATTCATTCAATACATGTTTTGTAACCAAGCTAGACTCCGAAAATATACACTAACAATTAGCGCCACGTGGAAAAACACACAAAGCAGTTGTCCCAAATCTCCCACCTATCAAGCGCGAACCTCCTCCTCAACCAGAACTCCAACCACCAGAAAAAATGAAAATAAAACAAGAGCAACCTCAAAATTTCGACGACGACTCCGCTACTGCGGAAGAACCACTTCCAGATGCGATGGTTTTTGAGAAGAAAATCGAAGTGACTCAACACAACAAGTGCAACATGCCGGGTTGTCAAAACGAGGGGACCTCACAACACTTCATGCAGTCAACGAATTTAAAAATTTGTGATACGCACAAAAGGCAGTTTTTGTTTCGATTGAGGAAGTCCATCATGACAAAACAGGTGTCTTTACCTCCACAAGCTGTTGAAGGTTTTGTGGAACACCCAGACAATCCACTCTCAAATTACCCAGTTCTCCTTCACGATAATGTGTGTTCGTGTTGTTTCAATGAGACGCGATCGCCGTTTATGTGTAGTTGTTGTCCTTCTGTGTATTGCAGTGAATGTTTCAAGTTAGTGAACAACACATTGAATGCTGGAGACAAGTGGATGTGTCTTAATTGTGTCAACAAATTCAATCGGACCAATTTTTTGACAGAGCAAGTCCGCTTTCTGTTACCAATAATTGAAAAATCGATGAGTATTTCTCAAACTCCCGAGTTCAAGTCACAGCTTGAAGAAGAAAAGACACGTCTTGAAACGCGTGTTAAACAATTGAAAGAACATAAGAAGCAGTTACAGTCGTTCAGTGTATGGTTGGTGTATGTACTTCCACAGAACATGCAATTCCATATGAACTTTTTGCCTTACATGTCACTCATCAAACAACCAAAACCAGTTGGGAGGGTTGAAAATATTGCTGTTATTTCATTGACTGCTTGTCAGTACATGGCGTTGCCACATTTCAGTCCAGTCACGACCGCACAATTCAACGGGCTCAGTGCCACAATATGGAAGATCATCTTTTCTAATGAAGAGAAGATGAAGCTCAAGACGATTGATTCGAAAATAGGGTTTGATGTTGTTGCTTTGGCACACACCAAAAATTACATTGACATTTTGGAGGATGTTGTGAAGAATCAGCCCGAGTGGTTTCCCAAAGTCCAATTACTACGATTAATGAAGAAAGATGTTCAATTTACTTATTCGATGCTTCTCATGAAACTCTCACAGGAAACGACTGAAGCCATTTGTGATGCTGTTAAAGTACTGAACCAAAACGAGTTCATCAGAACAGCAATGGTCTTTTCAGGTGCGAATGGAGGTGTTATAGGAGAGAATGGGTGTTTAGTTCGTGTCAAAGAAGGTGACAATTCAATTGGAAGTGGATCGACATTTTATGGCGTTGGTGATTTTGACGACTCGGAGAAAAGTGTTGTGCAAAGCGAGACAAACACTTTGGGATTTCCACTTAACATTCGACCCAACCAACCACCAAAAGTCTTGTTCCAAAGTTTGTTGATCAACAACTTAGCAGTGGCAGTCAAGTTTTCGTTGTTGTTAGGTATCAAAGCAATCGGATTACTCCTTTTTGGAAATGAAGAGAAGGAAGTTGGGACGTTGAGTATTCTTCGGAATGAAATTCAAAATGGGAGTGTGGTGTTGTATGGTTGTAGCGATTTCCGAGATTTGTCCACGTGGACAAAGACGTTTGAAAAATTGAAAGAGAATCCGCCACCACTTTTGTTTCTATCGTTTCATACTGAGGTGTACGACAAATCCGATGATATGTCTGTGCTTGAGGCAATTGGAAAGGATGTGAAAACACTCACGAACAAACAGGACGAGAATGGTCCACAGACTAAGTTGGTGTGTTTGTTCGACTGGGGTTTTGTTCAAGACTGTTGCCCGAAGACTTATGAGAAATTTACAACAACGTTCATTTCGTCTGTTATCGCATGATTGTTTTTGTTCTAATTGTGGTTTATTGATTGTGTTATGTGTACTTTGTAAATAGAGTTTTACTATTATTTGTTAGTAAAAAATATCTAATTTGTAAATATAAATAATTTGATCATTTTATTATAATAATATAATTGTTAAACTTGAAACAAATATGTAATTTTATATTTAAACTGAAACTATACAAGTATTATTGATTTTTGGTTTGTTTGTTGTTAAAAATTATAATTTAAATTTAGTTGTTCTATTTAAAAAAAATATACAGTCATGTGAAAAAGCTGTCGCGTTTGGAAAAACCTGTCTAGGGTGGTAATGAACTATTCTAGTACTATAAACAAATGATCTGAAATAGAAAATGTTATTTGGAAATGCCGAATATTTTTATTTGATTT